AAAAAAAAAAAAAAAAAAAAAAAAAAAAAAAAAAAAAAAAACAATAATAAAAAAAAAATTATGGGTGAGCAGAATTAGACGTGTCGTAAAAGTTAACAGATGAACTAGTTAAAATATTGCTCTTCCCAAAATACAAACCTAGGAGGAACAGCATTTGGATCACGAAAAGCACCGGCAGTTGGTAATCTGGCACCACCAGCAGTTGGAATATTTGTTCCGACAAGCTCTATCTTCATGGGCTTCCCGTCAAGCTGAACATTATTATACTTCTTGATTGCAGCTAATGCATCTTGTCGCCATGAGAAGACTACTTCAGCAGTGCCCTAGAGAAAAATAAATAAATAAAAAAAGCATTGTTCTAAACGCGAGCTGAGGTATAAATTCCAACAGAAAGCAAGACTGCTGTTTAACTCGGAAAATACCTTTGACCGGGCAGTCCTATCGTAATCTACATTGCAGCGCTTCAAGTCACCAACCTCTGCAAACAGCTCCTGAAATTTTCAAATGGAACACTCGGTCTTAGATGCAAAGCAACTTCAAAAAATATAAAAGAAATCAAAGGAACAATGTGAAAGAATAATGAGATGTCTGCTTTAAGAAATCACCATTATATCCTCATTAGAGACCCCATAATCTAAGTTCGAAATGTACAACTTTGCCCCGGTCTCAATGCTAGAAGCAGAAGCTCGACCGCTGCCGGGGAACATGTCATGAGCCCAAACCGATTCCGGGGCCTACAACACACCCATCATCCATCACTTCAAAGTGCGAAAAAAAAACCATAAAACTCCCTCTAAAAAATCAAATCTTCTATCGTGCGAAAAGAAAGGAACACTCTAATTTGTCCAAAATCCAAAATGTAACGCGCGGGGATCTGACCTTCGGTGGTAAGTAGGGGGCTGCTCGATTGGCGGAGCGATTGGGCTGGCGGCGAGCTGGGCCGGGACCGCCGCCGCCGGCGCGGCCTCTACCTCGAGAGGCAGATTTTTTATTGTTTTTGATGATATCTTCAAGAGACATGTCTAGCGCAGCACCTGACATCTTGGCTCCTTCGGTGGAAATTTAGGGTTCGTGCACACAATGCGAACGATTTTGAAATTAGGCTTTGGTGCAGAGAGATTTGGGGGAGAGGATAAAAGGTGCACACAATACAAGCAACGGTTTTTCCAACTTCGTCCCCACGTTTTTTTTTTTTTTTCGGTACAATGAAGAGGCCAAAGGCCTAGGATGTTAGAACCCTGCGAGGATAGGATACCCCGATAAGATCATGCTCAAGCCAGGCGCCCAAGCCTACGGGGGGAGAATCCATATAATGTAAACCAAGAGGGGAAGAAGAAGCCAAGCTCGCCAAAAAGTCAGCCGCGTAGTTGACTTCCCTATGTACGTGATGGATCCGCACGCTCCAATCTTGTTGAATCAAATTGCGTATGGCCCGAATTAACGCATCGTTATCTCCAAATCTATCTTCAGGTCCAAGGATCATTTTCGTCACACATAGGCTATCAACTTCAGCAATTACTTGACGAAATCCCAAGTCCCAAGCCAATTGCAGCCCTTGAAACAGACCCCAAAGCTCAGCGCCCGTAATGGTGGTATACCCAATATTCATAAGGAATCCCCCGACCCATCTACCGAGCTCGTCGCGGATCAGCCCGCCAGCACAACTCAATCCCGTGGTGTTATAAACCGCTCCATCGGAGTTCACTTTGATCCACCCCGATGCAGGCGGGGTCCAACGAATCAAACGCGTAACATGTACTGCCGCACCAACTTGATGAAAGGCGGCAGCCGCTCGGGAGTAAGAGTCCGCCCGTTGTAAGATCTCCTGGCAACGAGTCTCACAGCTTGAAGTGCGAAAATTAAAGATTCGGTCATTGCGCCACCTCCACAGACACCACGCAGCAAGTGGAAAGATTCCATTCCAATTGGTACAAGGTCCACGCCTTACCATCGACATGTTTATCCATAGCCAAGTTCGAAGAGGTTGGTGAAAAAAGTCCCCCACATTGTCATCTGAGAGCAACCGGGACCATACCTCTTTAGCCAAAGGGCAATCCCGCAGGACATGTAGAACCGACTCACCTCCTCCACAATAATCGCAGGCCTCGGAGATAGACATGTGTCGTCGGACACGTTCCACGTTCGTGAGAAGACGGCCTTTTGCCGCAATCCATAAGAAGTTTCGAACCCGTTGCGGGGCCTGAGCCCTCCAGATTAACTTCCACAAACGTTGGTCAGGATCTCGCTCAGGTGGGGATAACGCCATGTAAGCCGAACGAGTAGTAAAATTACCATCATTTGAAGGTCCCCACATGAGACGATCCGCCCCAGCCGACGCTCTCGGTGGGGGTGTGCCGGCTATGCGCATGATTATGGAAGAGGGGAGCAGCCCATGAAAAAGATCCCATTTCCAATTGCCTTGCTCATCCACGTACTCAGCAACCTTCGACTGGAGGAAGGGCGCCGGCGGCGGGTGGGTCACATAGCGAAACAATGGGTCTGCCTTCCCTAGCCAAGGGTCCAACCAAAAGCGAGCCGTCTCTCCATTGCCTAAGGACCATCGTAAATTTCTCACAAAGGTAGGCCAAATTTTACTAAGGGCCCGTACCAAGGCAGAGCCCTGCCCGCGAAAGAGATCCTCTAATTTATGTGAGCCGTCAATGCCCACTTTTTTTAGTTTCGCACTTACGCTTGGTCAATGGCCATATTGATTTTTCCATTCGTTGGAAATTTTTTTTTAAAAAAAAAAAGCTTTATACAAACATACGTTTAAATTGTGAATAAAATAATATAAAATAAAAATAATAATGATTATGGTTAAAAATGATATAAAAATAAATAAAAATACCAATTGACATTGATTGCTGTGAAAATATAGAATAAATATTAATTATGTTTTTACATTGAGTTACTGAAATTATAAATGATACGACATATAGGAGTAACTCGGTAAAACCGGACGGTACAGCTCTATTTGAGAACCGGAGTTGATATGATACATAAGACTAGCTTCGGCCTTATAGACTGGAAGTAGCTAGAGCAATGGAACGAGAAGACAGCTTATCCACATTAGCGACCTGGCCCATTTAGAGTATTAATAGCTCGGTCCACTGAGGGCTCGTTTACTTTGAGGGATGGGATAAGACTAAATAATCGGGTTACCTTTACATGTCAGCATTTAGTCCCATGTTTACTTTGAGGGATGGGATAAGACTATGGTGTGTTTAGTAATTAAATCAACTTTGAGGGGTACAATGGTCCATTTGCATCCAATTTTGAGGACAAAAAAGTCTTGAACAGTGCATGATTAATTAATCACCTCTTCTTGGTGGGATGAAAATAATCGGCCAACACATTATTTCAACGTGGGCCCCGCCGCCACATGTTATTCCAACTCATATAATCCTGTCCCAATCAATTAATGTAAACAAGGGATATTGAGGGACAATTCATCTTATCTATCTAATCCCTCAAAGTAAACGAGCCCTGAGAGTATTATTAGCTCGGCCAGTGGTAGGTCGGGGAGCAAGGAGAGCTTGATGCAGTGGTAGCTCTTCACAATAATAACTCGACTAACGACAAGGCTTGGGAGTGTGGAGAGCTCGACTTAACAGTAGCTCGGCCAGTGGCTAATACAGTGGTAGCTCTCTCAGTAATAGCTCGGCTAACATCAAGGCTTGGGAGTGTAGAGAGCTCGACTTAACAGTAGCTTGGCTGATACAGTGGTAGCTCGTCTCAGTAATAGCTCGGCTAACATCAAGGCCAGGGAATGTGGAGAGCTCGACTTAATTGTAGTTCAGCTAGTAGCAGGCCTGGGAACAAGGAGAGAAGGCTTGGAGATGTGGGAGGCTAATTACGATTAGTAAGCTAGGTTGAGGGCCGAACTAATGTGACGTTACATAAGTCGGTTCACACGGGACACGTGTAAGGACGAGATCAAAAAGGATAAATTATCTAACGGACGAGGAGCAAAACATACGGGAGAAGCTAAGGATTTCATATAAATAGATAAAATGAGGAAAAATGTAAGGTTAATCACACTCTACAAACCCTAAACAATACATACAGTTACATACAACTTTCATATATCCTTTACTAACTTGAGCGTTGGAGGTTTAACGTCGGGAACACCTCCCGGTGTCTTTGCAGGTCTCCGGGGAGCAGGATCAGTGGAGAGCCCGTTTGAGGTGCAAGAGCACATCAATAAATGTATAAATGAGATACAATTAATAGTATTTTCTATGACTTTTTTTATTAATATTCGCAATTTGAGTAAGATAAAATATTGGCTAATCAAACTAATGAAACTTAATAAATCAAATCCAATCTAAAAAATGATAAAGTTGAGATTTTATTATATGAAAATTACTTTCTTATCATTCAACGAACATCTTGTTTTTTCATAAAAATTAAGGGCCATCTTATCCAACTTTCGTGAATATTTATGGATGGTTATAAAAGCTATGAATCATTGAATTGTAACTAATGCAGCGGATGTTTTAATAGAGACATCTAATAATGGAGATGGTTCAATCACGTCAAGAATAAGAAAAAGAAGAATTTCGCTTTCAGCTAGCAGGTAGTGCATGGGACTACTTTGAACGAGCATGGAAAGACAATATGTTCTTTTTGGGAGAGGCCAAGCCTAGAGTTATTAAGCGAGCGAGCTCGACTCGTTTAAAGCTCGCTAAGTCTAATTAGGCTCAAGAAAAATAATTTGGCATAATTTTATGAACTCGTTCAACTCTTTAAGACTCGAATTCAATTTGTTAATGTCAACATTAACAAATCAAGTACATTTATCGACTCATTTAGTGAACGACATCAGCCCAATCAACTAGCTTAAACAAGCAAATTTAAAGTAGCTTTGTGCACATCTACAGCTAACAATAATAAAAGATGAAACCATTAAACTTCACAATATGAGGTTGTAATCACTTATAGTTATCCCTCAGCCCTCAGGTTGAACCCAAAACCAGTTATAACTTGAGTGATCCTCCAGGGATAAGATCTATAAAATGCATGCATAAACAAAAGGCCAACTTCGAGTGAACTAGGTTTTGCCAAAACAAGATAAACAAATAGTCAGGTAATTTTCGTTGTCATAAAGCTATTTTCCACAAGAAATGAAAAGATTTTGATGAAACATTAACTTAAGTTCAAGACATAAAGCCATCATCAGGATATTCTTATATGTTTGCATGAAATGTAAAAAATAGCTGATTGTTCTTACTATCAGAATGTGATATGCATTCTTACAAGTTAGCAGGACACATTGTGGACATATCAAGATAGTAATACAGTAAAATGTTTGTCCAATAAATACTTTGGATGATTACACTTGATATTTTTTACAAGGTACGACTGGCGATCAACCCTGTAATCCGCACTCATCTGATTCCGCTTTCTCGTTTTTCCTCCTCAGACAACAGACTTTGAAAAAAAAAGGAAGAAAAGATAAATTACCTCGACAGAAACCGGGCGCGCCGGGATAGGTGATCTTCCACCTCCCACACTCATCACAAGCTCCCATCGAACACNGACGACCCCCACGAAACAAAAGGAAGTCGAACAAAACCACAAAAAATTAAATTAAAAATTAGAAAATAAAAAAAATAAAAAATAAAACACCAACTTACATCCCCTCCCGCGACACTCCCGTGTCAGCTACTATCCGCCGACGAGGCGGGCGGCCCATCTCGCCCGTTTCCCTCCACCGCCGCCAGCTTCTGCGTTTCCACGAACCTATTAATCCTCTCGAGCAGCTGCGCGGCCTTTCTCCTTCCCCTCTCCGTCCCACTTCTCGCCAGCTCCATCAACGGGCCAACGACCCCAAGCTCCCGTGCCTCCGCCAGGTGTTGATCGCTCGACGAGCACAAATGCACGAGCACTGCGGCCGCATTCTCCCGATTCCTCGGCGACCCTCCCCCGACCACATCCACCAAAACCGGTAAAGCCCCCGCGCTCCCGATCCCCGCCCGACCCTCCGGGTGGCTCGCGAGTATCGCGAGTATCGCTAGCGCCTCGTCCACCATCCCTCCTCCTGGCTCCGTCATGAGCCTCACGAGCGTCGGGACGACCCCCGCCCGAACGGCCTTCCCTTTGTTCCCTTGGTAGATGCATAGGTTGAATAGCGCCGTGGCCGCGTCTTTCTTCCCGCGTTGCGTCCCCTCGTTGAGCAACGCGACGAGCGGCGGGATGGCTCCCGAGGCCCCGATCGTGACTTTGTTCTCGTCGACCACCGAGAGGCTAAACAACGCGGCGGCCGCGTTCTCGCGCGCCTCGGGGCTCCCCTTGCGGAGCACGTGGACGATACCCGGGACGGCGCCCGACGAGATGATGGCCGACTTGTTGTCCTCGCAAATCGAGAGGTTGAGGAGGGCCGTGACCGCGTGTTCTTGAGTGCGCGGGTCCGCGGTGGACGAGAGGAGGTGGACGAGGAGGGGGATGGCTCCGGCCTCGGCGATGGCGACTCGGTTGTCGGCGTTGCGTTTGGCGAGGAGGCGGAGCTCGCCGGCGGCCGAGCGCTGGTCGTCGGGGACGCCGGAGGTGAGTTTGAGGAGGAGGGAGCTGATTTTCGTGCGCTCGGCGGGGGAGCAAGAGGAGGATGAGGGTTTGGTGGAGCGGGAGTCGGCGGGGCCGCCGTTGCCGCCGCCCGGGCGCTTGGGGGGGTCGAGGCCGTTGGCTTCGCACCACTGGGCGATGAGGCTTCGGAGGACGTAGTTCGGGGTGAGGGAGGTGCTCGATAGGGCTTGTTGGGTCTTGGGGCACGTCGCGTGGCCGGCTTCTAGCCATTTCTCGATGCACGACCTTTCGTACGTCTGCATGATAGAGAGAAGGATGTTATTTTTTTCTGTTTTTTTTTTNGTGTGATTGGATATAAGTTATTTTGGATTAAATTGGATTTATTGGATAAAATGAGTTCATTTTGAAAAAAGTTGATTGAGTGAGATTTTGAGTTTGTATTAAAATAGTATTTAAAATATAATGATTAACATTGTGATGTAAAAATAGGAGATAGATGATTGGAAGTGATGGATAGTTACAATTATGTGGGGGATGAATAATGAATTAATGTTGATGTGATGTGTGAGGATGATTGATTGATATTATTTAATTATAGAGAATAAATATTGAGAAAATTATGAGTTAGAGTTAAATCTGAGTTAGGTTTTGAGTGAAAAACTCTATATCCAATCAAGCCCTTCGGGGAATTGTGAGGATCGTGTGCATGTGTGGGGAAATGTGAGGATCGTGTGCATGTGTGGCGTCGCAATTATAAAAGCATATGAATATAGTAAACTCTGGAAAGAGGATTTATTGAGGGAAGCTCTACTTGGAAAGTGAAATCCTATGACAGTAAGTACCTGTCCTGTTGAGACAATGACGGGATCGTTCATCAACTCCAAGGAGATAGGACAGCGGAAATCATCCGGTATGACGAGGTTTTTCTGAATTCCCTCAGTCGGTGCTTTCCCACTGCTGCATGCTGGGGTTGACTTTTCAGATGCAGTGGACTCAATATTTGGATTCACCGTCAGCACAAAATCCTTAATTTTCTTCAAGAGCATCGACATTTTCTCTATGTTCTCTTCCGGGTCCCCACCAGTTGCAGCTACCATCTCGTGCAAAGCTAGCGATTCTTGAGTTAAGTCGGCTATGCCGCCCAGCTGTAGTTTTTCGACCAATCTCCTTAATACAACTGGATCTTCGGCAGAATCAGCGTCTTTGTTGTACAGCCACAAAAGATCCTCATACAGCTCGACATCTGGGGCATCAACCCTTCCCTTGGCTCGTCTGAACTGAGCAAGAACAAGCTCAACCTGGAAAATAAAATGCTAAAAAGATAAAAAATTGTACGAATGCAAGAAATGTAGGACTTTGAAATTGATTTTCTGGAGTAAATAACATGCAAAATGAAAGATAGGATCTTACCTGTTCCTTCACCTCATCTGATATGTCAAGTTTATCAAAAGAAATGGCACTTAGAGCTTGCTCCAGTGCAGCCGTCACTTCTTGAAATGTGGTCATGATGTGTTCTCTCTCCAGCACCTATATGCAAAGACGAGCCTTGAACTTTTCGTAATTCAAATCATAACAAAGAAATTGGCTGCGTAACAAATAGTTCGCAAATACCGAACACACTAAAAGAGACTGTTTATAGAAAGAACTATCCGCTGGATGAAAGGCCACAAATTCTGGACATTGCAAGAAAAAGTCGAGCCTCTGCAGTTGCATGGTTCAAGCATTTATCATATCATTCAGATTTTAATACAGATGAATCTAATTACAGTGATAATTTACTCAATGCCAGTTCATCATATTCGATATTAAAGTTAGGAACAATGATGTCATCCAAAGGAAAAACTAGATAAGCATTGAGAGATAAAGAAGTACGCGTGGATTAGTGGACAGACGAAAAAAATAGAGTCAGAAATAAATTGCCCAAATTGCCGTGTTCCAAAAATTAATATGCCAATTTATTGGCTTTTAACAAAGTCTAGAAACTTTTTGACTTATAAATGCTTTAAAACGGATGGATAGGGACCACTAGGTTCTTGATCAAGAGAGCTTATCTGCTAAGTTCCTATAATAACTTCCTCTAAAAAAGGAAACGAGAACAAAACAAGATGAAATCATATTAAATTGAACCTTTTTTAGTAAGAAAAGATGTGCTAAAAATTATCTTGCCAACAGAGTCAATATACAAGGATTAACCTCGTATTGTTCTACAAATGGTTGATATTAATCTGACCGCGTTTTTTATATTCCAATGATGTGGCACCCCTACTATACGGAATTTTCAAGCTGTCTCCCTAATAACTGGAAGTGACCTCGAGTATTTACTTTGTAGCGAGTGTTATCCTCAAATTTTGAGCCTTCCCTGCAATACTTGTCCAAAAACTTAATAACATTTCATTTTCTTCGATACAGACCTTGAGCCAATATGGTTGGAACTACTTACCAGAATATCCCTATCAGACCTGTCAAGTTCTAATGTACACTGCTGGTTCTAAAATGTGTCAGAGGGCATTTTGTGATGTTTTTTTGTGAGTTTTACTAGGGCTGAAGATGCCATCTTTCTGCCTTGAGGTATAACTGCTGGCTTCAACTATATTACAACCTCACACCGTAAGATGAAGTAATCAAATCTACACAATGCTACAACATCTTAGCCATCAGAAGATAGCTTCCAAAGCCTGTATCTCAATAGACACTGTCGAGCCTCTTAGAACCTTTTGAAATTGATAGAGGACCAGTATATTTTAGATGGGATTGCATCATCGGAAGTCATTTAACACTGTCAGATATCTCAAAAATGCCATATTTATATCCCTATGTTTCTGGTATCTACAAGATGAGCTGCAATTTTAAGACTACGACAGAAAACCATAAGCTCAAGCAATATTATCCATGACAGATGACCGAAAATGGTGGCAAGCACGCTATGACTGCCTGTAACACAGCCATAACTGCACCTTCTCAAATTTCGAGAGGCAGTTCGGTAGAAATCTAGCACACCACTCCGTCATTGGAGTGGGGGCATAGCATAACCTCCATTTAACAACATTGAGAACAAGGTTCATAGAAAAAATCATATACGGAGATTTAACTTACAATAGCAGCTGAAAGAACACTAATGTGATGAACTTCAGACCCAAAAGTTCACTTCCTAACTAGAACACGCTTAAACATCAGATCAATTAAACGTATATTCAGAACACAGTGGCCCAAATGAACATGCTTAAACATCAGATCAATCAGATTAGATAAATCAACCAAACGTATATTCAGAACAGTCGGTCATCTAGTCTCAAGCAAAAGATCAGATGTAGTAACGATTGCCTTAAAAAAAAAAAGATTTACATCAGAAAACAAAAGTAAAATAACAGCATACCCACCAGATAAATCTTGCTGCCTTCATTTCCAAACCGGAGCAGCTCCTTCGCCGATTCAAGAGCGCCGGCCAAGGAATCCAGTGCCCGAACAGAGTCTTCCGGCAGCGGCTCCTTCGAATCGCGAATCTCTTCGAACATTGGGGTCAACAACTTCAGCCGCCGAGCTAGATTCGTGTACTGTTTCTTCACGGAGCTCCGGTAGTCCGAAATCGACGAGATTTCGCTCACCGCGTCGATCAATCTCCGGGCCAGCGCGGCCTTGGAGTCCTCCATCTCGAGCTGCGACCCGGCGATCTGAACANNNNCAGCTGAGGCTGAGGGGTTAATTTGCTTTGAATGCCCGTCTGGGATTTGTTAACTATTTATTTACCGGTAGTGAAAGAGTTCTGGTGCGTCAGTTACCCAAGCTGCCAGTGGGTTAAAATGGCAGAAAAAGTGTTGAAAGAACAGAAAAAGGTAAGATCAAATTTTGCTCACAAAATCTTGTGTTGGGACAATTTTTCACTTGTCTAGTTTAAACTATTATTTTTAATATAAAAATATACATATTCGTAAAACTAATGTAACTATGTAAGTTATTTTTATTTCAGTGCATCTATTTGCATGAGTTTCTCTGAAAATGTGCCTTCTAAATTTTTTTTTTATCTCATGATTTCTGGTGGAACTTCTCAACATTTTATAAATATATCCTTTGAACAAATCATTCATGTATGCTTAACATAAAAATAAGAAATGAGGTAGAGCATGTGAATATGTTGATAATTCATATTCATCCGGTGTGCATTAGTTTTCTTTCATTTCTTAAGAGCATGTTTGTTTATAAAATTTTTTTATTTTGTTTGGATTTTTTGATTTGATTTGGTTAATTTTGAAAAAGGTGGTATGGTTAGTTGTTAGTGGGTATATTAAAATAATATTTAAAATAAAATAATTAAAATTAATTTGATGTAAAAGGTAAGAGAGAGAGAGAGAGATTTGAAGTAATGGTTAGTTAAAATAATGTGAGTGGATGAATAGTGAATTAAGGTTGATGTGATGTGTATGAATGATTGATTGATATTATTTAATTATATTGATAATTTGATGATAGTGGGGTTCAGTTAAAGTTGAATTAAAAAAATAGTTGCGTTAAAATATTAAAAAAGTAGTTGAGTTAAAAAACACTTATGCATAAGTGTTTTTTATGCATAAGTAAATTTGCCAAAAATCTTGCTGGACTTAAAGCCTAAGGGGGTGATTGAATATGAATTCAACTAGTAAAAAATTAGTTTTTTTTTTTAACTATAGTTAAGTTTAAAAAAAGGTGGTATAGTTAGTTGTTAGTGGATATATTAAAATAATATTTAAAATAAAATAATTAAAGTTGATTTGATGTAAAAGTAGGAGAAAATAATTAGAAGTGATGATTAGTTAAAATTATGTGAGTGGATGAATAGTGAATTAAAGTTGATGTGTTGGGTAAGAATGATTTGTTGATATTATTTAATTATATTGATAATATTGGAGATAGTGGAGTTGAGTTAAAGTTGAGGTAAGTTTGAATTTTGATTGATTTTTTTACTGTACAATCTATATACAATCGCCCCCTAAATGTCTGACACGCAATTTTGCCTTTCCTTGTTTCCTTGAAGATAAAAACTTTTATACGCTTGCAATTGGCAATTAAACAATCGCGTCGGACATCAAATTATGGAAATATAGTTGTTTTGTAGTATTTTGTGGGTAGGTGGTAACCGAGCTACCCGACCTCGAGTCGTTCTTAAAGGAAGACGGTTCGGAGCTTTGTTCATTACTCAATTGTCAAAATTACACAAAATGAGAAAATAAAAGCTAAACATGCTAATCAATGAGTTGGATAGTGAATTAAGGCTAATGATGCTCAGAATTGAAAGCGACAAGTAAACTAGAGAATAAAACAATTAACACTACTGGAGTCTCTATGCCATCACAACCGAACAAACTCAACCAAGAGAAATAAGCAAGTCTTAAGCACGAGGTCACTAACCCTAACCTTCTAACCTAAGTGATTAAGCTCTAGAGTCCTAACCCTTAATCTAGATTGGCAAGTAATTAATCCCTACTAAAAAAGCAAGAGCAATGATCAAGTCCAAACATTCCCTCCATCATCAAGTAAACACCCAAATTCACCTTGATAATCATTATAAGTAAAAACGAGGCAAAAATCGAAGTAATGAGCTTTAAAAGTAAATACACAATCTTCTATTGCGTGCTAGATGAAGATCGGAGTCAAAAGCTCGGAACTTGAACAAAATAAAAGTCGCCAGAAAATGATGACATAAGCTCCCGAGGGAGAGAAAAGAGAGAAAACTAAAAAGAAAAGATTATTTTCTAAAGTGGTAAAGTGAGAAATGAAATCTACATATCCCAAATACAAAGGACTAAAACAATTTTATAGTGGAATCTAAGCATATGCACACACATTTACTAATTCTGCAGCTCGCAGGTCTCAAAATCAACTTCGCAGTGAGTTTTCTCATGAAAATCAACTGAAAATGCACGTTGGCGGGGCGCCAAAACAAGTTCGCTGCGAGTGTGGCCTAGGCTGGTGCGGGGTCTTGCGCTTCACGGGGCGCGAGTAAGGACTCGTCGTGAGTTCCAGCCCTAGGCGCTTTCCGCTTCGCGGGCCGCAAGTAGAAGTTGGCAGCGAGTGGGAGCTGGGCGCGAGTGAACACTCGCTGCGAGTGCGCGGGGTCTGGCTGGAGCATGCCGCTTCGTAGGTCGCCAACTCCGGTCCGCTGCTAGTGTGCTGGATGTTTTGAGGACGCCAAACTTTGATAAATTTAAATCGTTTCTTTCCATAGAACCAGTGACACCAAACTTTGATAAATGTCCGATTGTCAGAGGGCAACAATTATTGAATTTTCTCATCGTTAATTAAATCAATACACACGTGTATGTGTTGATCTAGAAAACAGTGGCTTAAAATTTATGATTATTTTACATGTTTACTGCACTTTTTTGAAAATTTATACAAAAATATGATATTAAAAATTAAATCGTATATAAACCTTTCATAAATTAGTTATAAACCAAAATAATACAATTTAAAAATTGATGATAGAAATGGACCAAACATAAAATTAAAATAAAAATTTATTAAACATAAAAATAATATGAGATTTGAAGGTAAATACTAAATGATGTAACATGTTGGGCTGTTGTCAAAAATTGAATGACTTAAATTTGAAGTTAAATGATGTAAGATGTTGGGCTGTTGTCAAAAAGTGATAATCACTTAGTTATATGGGCCTGTGATTCTTAACATAAAAGGCCCAACTTAGTACAAAAGCAAGAGCCATATATAAATGGACGAGGGTTTTCCACCATTTTAACTGCGGCATCTCACACTGACACACATTCTTCAGTCTCATTCGCCGACTCCCAAACCCTAAACCCCCCACAGGAAGCCGAGAAGAAGAAGAAGACTTCAAATGGGTACGTATTAACGATTGATTGTTTGGTTAAAGAAATGAACAGTTATTGAGAAAGCACTTGATTTGATCTTTTGTTTTCTTCCCCTTTTTAATTCGATTTTTGATAGCGAGAATCAAGGTGCACGAGCTGAGGCAGAAGAGCAAGGCGGAGCTGCTAGCGCAGCTGAAGGAGCTGAAGGCGGAGCTGTCTCTGCTGCGCGTGGCGAAGGTCACCGGCGGCGCCCCAAACAAGCTGTCGAAGATTAAGGTTGTCAGGCTCTCGATCGCCCAGGTCCTCACCGTGATTTCCCAGAAGCAGAAGGCCGCTCTCAGGGAGGTTTACAAGAACAAGAAGTACTTGCCGCTCGATCTCCGCCCCAAGAAGACCCGCGCCATCCGCCGCCGCCTCACCAAGCACCAGGTATATTGCCTTATTCTCTTGTTTTTTTCCAATGTACATTTCCATCATGTGATGATTTAGTTTTTGTATGGCTGTTGGCTCTGTTGCTTGTCTCAAAATTGTATCTTTTGTTTTTTTTTCTTTTTCCCATGATACATATCATTAAGTACAATTTCTGTGTTACAAGTGTATTATATGTACAGTGACCCAATTACTTACAGTTCTTTTTTGTATGTTTATATCATGTGCAGTTTAATGGTTTAATTGGGAACAACACTCTAAGTGAACAATTATATTTATGTTTGCAATGTTTCTCGTTTAGATGGGCCTGATTAGGTCAGGGTTGTTAATCTTTAGTATATGAGTGTTTATTGTTGAAAAAAGGTGTGCTCTAGTCTAGTGCCCTTTTGATTCTAGTTCGTCTATCTCTTTAAACTAATTCGCTGGTGTATATCATTCTAACAAAGCTTTTTAACCTTGTAATGTTTTGGATTCAATTTGTTTAATTATATTGGTATGTGTCTGGCTTGTTTTGCAACTTCTGAAAGTTAGTTAGGAATCCAAGATATCTATCTATGCTATATGATGCTTGCGATACATAGTTTTTTTGAACTTGTTGTATTAGGCATGCCAGATCAGAAGCATTCTGTTCATAGTTTTTTGTTTCTCTCTGTTGTATTTGTGAGCTTTATTCCTCAAACTCTATCTTAAACTGGTAAGATTTGTAGACTAAGCATCTTTCAAAGAACATATAGTTCATTGTATTGCAATTTGAATCTTCATGTTTATTTATTTTTGATGTGGTCTTTTGATATTCATGCTTCGACTTACCCTAATCCATTAGTTCCCTTACTAGGGGATTTTTCTGGGTCCAATAGAAGCCAATTTCCAGTTCACCGCCATTTTTCGTGATTAATTGATGCAAAAAAATTTATTTTACCCAAATATGTTCTTGATTTGAGGTCTATATTGATAATTCATTTACACTTGCTATGTCCAACTATTATAAATACTAGGTGCTACAAACAAGGGCAGTTTTTAATGTTTTTGCTGACTTTTGTTTTGGTCCTTTGACACAGGCATCTTTGAAGACAGAGAAGCAGAAAAAGAAGGAAATGTATTTCCCTCTGAGAAAGTATGCCATTAAGGTTTAAATTATAGCTTTTGATGGAAGCATTTGTCAAACTTCTACTTTCAAATTTTGAAAGATATTAATTGTCTTGTTTATTGGTTTTTTGAATCTTCCGGTTGGTTAAATTGCTGTGTAGACTTGTCGTTTGGGTACTTCTATACATTGTTGCTCTATGATGTGCACTTTGCTGAAGCTCATGCAATTAAAAGCCCATTGTTGTGCTTTTCATTATTTTTCTGCACTTTTTGTGTTCAGTTTGGAGCTTCTTTACTGTTTTAATCCTTCATGTGCCTTCGACTGCCATTTCTGATAGAACTTGAGATACCTCATTATTCACACCTTGTGATATGACCTTAATCAATGCAAGAAGTGAATTATGTCCTGAATTCTTTTACATAATCTTCTTTTTGTTTATTTTGATTATTAAATGGATCTAAGAATGCTCCTCCATATTGTGATAGATTTTCCAAACCAATCATTAGATTTCCCTCATTCATTAACAAAATAATGACCCAATAAAAGGATACTCACAATCAATAGGTTTATACTTGAAATCACCTATATTATACTCAACATTACTTGGACCATCAATCCTCATTTGCAACGGTAGAATCCAGCCGAAGTTTGAGAAACACAAACAAGAAAAATGATGATGAGGATGAAATTGCACGCTCCATTCCTTTGACTAGTTTTGTCGAAAAAAAGAGTGAAAAACTCGACCGAGTATGAATTTTGGTTCGCTCGCTATAATAAATTCTATATATTGTTAAGTCAGTCTAGTTAAACGCACTTGAATCATGCTTCGAATCTTTAAGAACATTTTGAATCTCGTCGAGAGAATTATAGGTGTGTAAGAGAGAAATCTATCAAATTTAAGAATTATAGGATTCAATTTGATTTCCACATATAAGATCTCTTGGATCCGCTTAAAACTTTCATTATCTTCTAGAATATATTGATGTATCCATCATGAAATAAAAATTGACACTTGACTTTATTTGATTGACCGATAATTTATATATTAATATATGAATAAAATTTATGGAAACTTCCAAAATATAAATATAACATATTATTTGATTTTTCATATATTACCCGAGCACAAATCTATAATGTTAACATTAAAAAAGTCTTTGATAACGTGTAAAATTATATTACAACTTTGGTAACCCATAGAGGGCGTTGAATCCGTGAATAGATCAATTGCACCATTGATTTCCTTACACAATTAATATATATGAACTTAAAAGGATTCAATTAAAATTGTCCACATCCATTTTGTGATACAATTTTTCCAAATCAAGTTCTCCCTCATTCATCAATTCAACGACATAATACATAAGAAAATCACTCACACCGATAGATAACAAAGTGTTTGGCATCACATATAATAATCAAACCTTAATTATTCCATCAATCATCACTTAGTTTTGCAGAATATCTGGCCGGCGTTTGAGAAGCACGAACAAGAATATTGAAGGCGAAGATGAGATTACACGATTCTTTTCTCTGACAAGTTTTTGTGGGAAAAGAGTATGAAAGACTCGATCGAGTATTTCATGCCCAAAGTGATTCCCTATAAGCTCCGATGTGGTGGCTCGGAAGAACTTGGCTGCGTATTGGAGGTCATGGATAAAATCGACCTCGCTTTTGACTTCAGTCAAACCCTCCATCTTTTCTATTATGAAAAATCCATTTTGTTCTATAATTTGTTCCAACTCTCGTGGAGAAGTGAAGTAGAAGGGAAAATTGAACTCGTCGACCTTCTCTTCATCAAATATTCCCTAAGTGAGATCAAATCCATGTGTAATTCCATGCATGCAGTCGAAATAAGTAATTTTCTAACAATTATACGTACTTAAATAATAAGATTAAGGCGATAACATAAGTACAATTTTTTAACTACACATATAAAGCACTACAAAACTATCACATGACTAGACCTGAAATTGACAGATCATTATGGGACAAAATTACAAAAGAGTTGTTAGCAATCAATATATGATTTCATCATATCTTAATTATGGATGGTTAGGGCATCTCTAGTATTAGAATAACAATTTAATTTAAATTTTTTTGTATCCATTCGATATATAATTTATTGGTGAATAATTTTAATATGGTGAATGAATAATCTTTTAATATATATAGTTGGTAACAACGCCAGAAAGTGTACTCCAAACTGTTGAGAATAATTTTTTCAACAACGTAAGAGTTAAGAGGGCTCGTGACAATGCACATTAAAAGAAAAATAAATCATCATACTTTGATGACTTCAATAGTCCATCTCAAACTTTTCAAAATAATAAATTATGATTCTTAAAATTATAAATGCTATGTAGCTAGTTATGCAATTTACACTAACATTAATACAAATATTCCACTTTTCATTTATATATTACACCCCGTTCATTAGGTAATAGAGTAGCTTAGCTATACTTATCTCTATTACATTTATATTCCATTCATTTTTTCCCTTTTAGTTAAAAACGCTCTTCAGTATATAGCTTTACATGAGTGGCAGCTTCATTTTAATAGTTAGGTATAGGTATACATAAATACTAAATAGCTCATTAGGGTACAAAAATTGAAAATAAAAAATAAACAATGTCTATATTATATGTATAATACCATTTTTTTAGGGCAAAAAAATATTTAAAATTTGCAAATTATTTCAAATAAAAATAGTATAGTTGAATAATTTCTATTCAATTCGTTTACTATCTTATTCAGATGTTTAAAATTGAAGATATTTTTAGATTTTAACTTCATGGATTCATATCCATTTTTTTTTTCTAAAAAAGAAAATCCCAATTGTGTTTTTCCGCTTCTCAACCGTGGGAAAATCTATTTATCTTTTGCTTTACCAATATTTTAAAAAGGAAAGACAAAAGACATATATAAAATTGCGAAACAACAATTAGAGTTTAAAACACCGTACATCTGATACAATTACTATCGAATTGTATTTAAATCATAAAGTAACTAATAATAATAATAATAATAATAATAATAATAATAATAAAAACTATCGATCTGATTGATAATACCACGTATTGACAACTATATCAATAAAACTATGAAACGGTGGTTAAAACACGAGAACAATAAATAATCATGAAACGAAATAAAATAATGTGAGAGAAATAATTTGAAAATAGCAAGTGTTTTGAGCTAGACAAATAAAGCATTACAAAACTATCACATGACTAGACCTGAAATTGACGGATCATTATGGAAATTATTTAAAAATAAAAAATAAAAAATAAACAATGTCTATATTATATGTATAATACCATTTTTTTAGGGCAAAAAAATATTTAAAATTTGCAAATTATTTCAAATAAAAATAGTATAGTTGAATAACAAAATTACAAATCATTATGGAACAAAATTACAAAAGAGTAGTTAGCAATCGATTTTCCTATGATTTCATCACATCTGAATTATGGATCCGAAACAGTTAGGGCATCTCTAGCATTAGAATAACAATTTGATTTAAAATTTTATGCATCCAATAAGAACATTATATTATTTGATGGGTGAATAATTTGAATATGGTGAAGGAATAATCTTAATATAGTTGGTAACAATGTCTAAAAGACGTTCAAAAATTGTCGAGATTGATTTTTTTCAACAACGGGCTCATGACAATGTACATTAATAGAAAAATAATTCATAGTACTTTCTAACTTGATGACATCAATAGTGCATCTCAAACTTTACAAAATAAAAAACTATGATAAGATAATATAAATGGTATGTAGCTAGTTATGCAATTTACACTAACATTAATACGAATATTCCACTTTTAATTTATATATCACACCTCGTCCACTAGGTAATAGAGTAGCTTAGCTATACTTATCTCTATTACCAATTATAGATAGATTTAATTTTTCCTCTATGTTAAAAAACGCTCTTCAATATAGCTTTACATCAGTTAGCAGCTTCATTTAACAGTTAATTATAGGTATACATAAATACTAGATAGCCCATAAGGGTACAAAAATTGAAAAAAAAAAAATGTCCAATTAAATGTATAGTACCATTATTTTCAGGGCAAAAAAATATTTAAGAATTTGCAAATTTCGAAAAGTTGACGTGGTTGTTCTTAGTTCTTACCTCTCTAGCCAAATCCACAAGGCATTCCCCCAACAAATCCAAAAGAACGCTCCAACCCAACCTAGTGTATGGGACCCCATTCCCACGAGCCGGGATGACGAGCACCACCAACCCTCCCTGGACCACCTCACGAGCCCGCGCCTCCAAAAACCGAGACACGTCATCCGCGTGGCGCCACGTGTACGCTTTCGCCACCTCATCGCGGGCCCCGCAACAGTACGCTCTTCCAGGGTTCGCCATGCGTGGCGCCTCGGAGAGCCAGTGGAGCGCGGACGAGCAGTGCACCACGTCGAGGGACCCGCTCGGAAAAATCCGACCGTGGAACGATCCCGGGACACCCGACGCGTAATAATCCCTCTCTGTCGGGAGGGACTTGAAGAGCGTGTTGAAGTCGTTGAGCGCGTGGTCGTTAAAGTAGACGTGAAATTCTGCAGACGTTTTGCTATTCTTGTTGTTGCTGTTTTGGCTGTTGCTGTTTTTGTTGTTGCTGTTGTTATTGTTGTCTGGAATATTTGAGTGTGTCGAGAGTTTGAGTTTGATGGCGTCGAGAATGTTCTCCACGGCGAAGAGAGTGTTGGGACCGGCCGAGCAGCCTAAATCGGCGATGCGGAAAGTTCGTGAGCTCGTGAGTGTTAGGTGCTCGGCTATCGACTTTCGAATGAGCGATTTGGAGGTGTCGATGGCCGATTTCTGTACTGATGAGGACACATACACATTTATAAATATGCATTTTTTGGATGAATAATTTGTAGCAAATAGTTATTTTCATATGTATACCTGGAAAGAGGAGTTTCTTGTGTAGCTTTCATCTCCATCACCTCCATTCATCACAAAGCCATCTATGGAACCCATCTCTTTCCCTCTCTAGAGTGTGTGTGTGTGTCTTGGTGTTTGTTGTATACTAGTACCCACTGTTTTTTCTTACTATTTAGGCGGTTTTAAGAGTTAAAAATTAAAATAGCTAGCTAATTTTTTATNACTTAGAAATATTTATCATATTTTTATTTTCTGAATCATTAGTTAAGTCTAATACAAAACAAGGACAGCAAAAGGGATGTAAATTTTGTCTCTATGTTTGATTTGGTTTTGGATGAAATGTTGGAACGAAAAATGACTTCAATCATTGAGCCCAAGGGCAAATTTATTGGGCTTGGGAAGTGGAATTTATATCCACCTTTGCATCACATTAATGGCATGATTTGAGGCAATTTTATTACCTATGTTCAATAATGGTTTATTGATGGGCATGCAGATCCTAAAATATATACATTTTATTTATTAGTTAGAGTTTTTATTTTATTTTTTTAAAAAATAAGATAATTAATTGATATAATATGTAATTAATTTTGGCAAGATTCTATTTGCCACATTTATAAATGGAGTCGTTCCTAATCAGTTGACCTGGCAGACTAATTTGATTTAGGAGAAGGTGTAGAATAAATCCAAGAAGATCAACGGTGTTCAAGATGTCATTCTGAGTTGTGTTCATTGTGAAGAAAGCGTGTAAAGAAATTCTCTTTAATAAATTAAGTCCTAACATTTAATTTGTGAATAAGTAATTTGGCAAGACTTGGTCTAAGTAACCTGTTCAACTAAAATATCTAACACGCAAGGTGAAAAATTGTGGTGAATTAGTCACAAGTTCTCAAGCCTCAATTTTGTGGAAATGTAGATTTTAATTACTCGGTCATTGAGGACAAAGAATATGATGGTGAAACTTGGAATTTAACAAGAAAGCAAAAGTCATCTCTAATGGATTAACAGTGTGACTCCTAACTAAAGCAGCAAACGAAGCTGCAAACGAACCGAGCCGCTCGCGAGCGATCGAGTCAAAGCTCGACTCGAGCTCGAGTTTGACCAAACTCGAGCCCATATTTTGCCTAGCAGCTCGAGATACATATAAATTACTAAAATACCCTTTTCTATATATATATATATTAGCATAGGTTCTTAATGGTAATTTTACTTTTTTCATTTAAAAAATTTTCGAGCCGAGCTCGAGCATTTTAATTTTGAGTCGAGCTCAAGCCGAGCTCGAGCTATTATAATTTTTTATCGAGTCGAGCTCGAGCTTGAGCAGCTAAATAAAAAAAAATCAATCTTGCTCGATAAGGCCAATGTTCGACTCGGCTCGGCTCGTTTGCAGCCCTACTCCTAACCATAATAGCTAGGGAGACATTTAATTGAAGTTAAACCTGCCAATTAAAATGTCTTTGGTCTTGTTTGGCAATCAGCTGTTAGCTGTTAGCGGTTAGCAGATTGTATTAACTGTTTTGACCAGCTGATAATATTAGCTGTTTTGACCAGCTGATTATATTAGCGGCTTATAAAAATATGTTTGGCAAAATTAGATGTTTGTTGTTAGCTATTAACATATAAATTTGTAATACACTTTAATATATTTTTTAAATTATAATCATAAACAAATTAAATTATAAATTATTTACATATTTAAAAATATTCAAAATTAATTAATAATAATATAATGACAGAAATATAGTTTTCCTGCCTTGAATATTTGAAATGAAGAGTCAAACAGTAACTAAATAAAAGATTTAAAATACATAATGACATATTTTCATGCTATAATATTGTTATTTACAAATAGAAAAAAAAAGAATATTTTATACTCCATAGAAAAATATAAAAAAAAAAAAGAAAAAAAAAATAAAGGCTCAAATAGTAGTGTCCAGACATTTTAAATAATAAGAATTAATAATACTTTACACTCCAGTGCTCCACACAAAAGAAAAAATTAAAAAAAAAGGAAAAAGAAGAAAAAAGACCCTAGTGTCCACTGTCCAACATTTTAAACCAATTAATTGCATGCTCATTTATAAAAAAGCTATTCTTAAACGCTACATGGAGCAGCATTTTCAATTTTGACGTTTTGGATGAAAACACTGCACAAATAATTTTGTTTTACCAAACATATGTTTTTAACTGGTCAAATTGTCAAACAAGCTAACTTTAGTCAAAACGCCATTATTCAAACAAGGCCTATTGAAGCTAGCTATTAAGTATTAGTAATAGTTAGTAAAAATAGATTAGCTATTTATATTTATTTATTCAAGTCTTATTTTCATTAATGTTTTACAAAATTAATGCATGTATTAAAAGATCTCTTGTTCCAAAATTCTGTTTTCATTCTTGTTTCATTTAAATGGATGCACGACAAGTCTCCATGAAGAACTCATAATCATACATGTGTCACTTATCCAACTGAATAAAACAGAAACCGATACATGATTAAGGAAAAGGAGATGTCAATCCGACGGTTTAAGGAGAAAAATTTAAGAAGATGACTTGAGAAGTTGAACAACATTAGTTATTCCTTAGTTATATAACTTATATAGATAAACAGAGTACAAAACAGAGTGTACTCATCCTAGTCATGGACTTGCTAGCAGTTTTTGTGACTCAATCTCATATTTGAACCTTAACTTCTTTGAATCATCTGCACACCAAACAAATATCCCATAAAGCTCTCCCCTTTTCTTGATCTTCTTGCAAGCTTCGAAAAACCCTTTACTCGGAATCAATCCACGACTCCCGTCGCTGATAAAGCTCGTCAAGACTTTCCCGCCAGTATATGTCATCCTCTGCTTATCGAAATATTGAACAAACTGCGAAACGCTCGTATGGTTATCGTACGCGTAGAATTGGAAGTTCACGTAGTCTATCACGTGCCCATATTTTTCCCAAAGAGTCGTGTAATACTTTTGAACTTCCGGGTCGTCGAAAGGAGCTATGGACGCGAAAGAAATCTTCCCGTTTCTCTTGAGCTCCGAGACGAGCTCCCCTACGCAATACGCAAACGTTTCGGGAGTTGAGTTGAAGTGCTCGTAATCTATGTCGATTCCGCTAAGGTTGTACTCTTCGATTATGGTTGTTAAGGTGGAGACAGCATTCGAAAGCCACGAACTTCTTTTTCGTGGCTTGAAATAGGCGAACCCTTTGCCTACGCTGTCTCCACCTAAGCTAACGGCGACTTTGACGTTCGGGTGTTTTTTTATGACGGCCGAGACTCGATCGGGAGTGAGGTTTTCCGAGTCCCAAAATATGTTGAACTTGCCGTTGGTGGGCGAAGGGTTATAGGACAAGTTTGTGGTGTAGTCGATGGCGAACGAGAGGATGAAGTGGAACTCGACTCCTGGGTTTATCGGGACGTCGGAAAATTTGACGTTTTTGAACTCGGCTCCGATGTATTCCCGGAAAACGGCAGAGTTGGTGGTGGTGGTGGCGGCGGACCGCCGGAGGAGGATGAGGGAATGGAAGATGAAGGTGGAGATAAATGTTATAGAGAGTTTAGGGGATTTCATTTTTGTATTTTCTTGTGTTGGTGTTGTTGGGTGTGGTGAGGTTTATTAGTGTAATACTATATGGAATTGTTTGAAGAATGACTTGTTCTTAATGGGAATCTTGGATAAGATTTGGTGAAATCACGAGTGTCGTTGAAGAATGTCATGGACCAAATATTTTTGTGGGATTCTTGCAAGAATTTTGGTCTCTTATCTTTTTAGCTTGATAGGCTTATGAATTTAAGGGGGTGTAGACTTGTTAAACTTTACTGTATTGAATTATTTCGAAAACATTTTGGAAGACTCAAATATATGCATAATAGATATCTTGGCATATTAGAAAATCCACTCATATATATGGGCAATGGGCGACTATGATTTACGGGGGAAATTCAACCAAATGCTCATAAAATTAAATTTACGAAAATACAATTGTGCTTGAGCAATCATCAAAATACAAAACAATAGGAAAAAGGAAAAAGAAAGAAAAAAATAGAACCATATATTTACAAAGTTTTTGTTTGAGAATATGCATTGCATATGGACATTGATTACCGATTGGATATGTAAACAGATGTACTCTAATGTTTATCGATTAGTGCCAACGGTTACAACTAAAAAAGAAATTAAATATAGAAAAAGTTTAGGGCAAACCATCGTGATTTATTGAGAATTGGAGGGGACGATGTTGGTGAATTTCGTGCAATCAAATGGCCCCATCTGATTGTTTTTCCTTTTGACCTGAAAATCACAGCAAAATGTGTTCACCAAATCTGAAAAATGACGTGGATGAGATTTTATTCTCTCTTAATCTGAAAAAATGATGCGGCCCCATCTACTGCTCTCCTAAATCTCACGGCCCCCAACAAATAAATGAGTGAGTCGTTGGATTTTCGACATACGAACCCAGTGTACGCGCAACAAAATTTTAAAAATTTTCTTACCAATAACAAAGATCCAGCTATAACTATTCGATATGATCCTAGATCGCGTGAATGAGTAACAAAAACTTACAGTTGTTCGTCTATGTCCTCGACTATGGTATCCACGCAATCCAGTTTTCCAGTTCACGATCCAACGTCAATGAATCATTTCTAGAAAGCTAGAGAGTGTTTTTATCTTTTGATGTTGATCTCTCAATCTTTAAGATTTTTAGATCTCTTCAAGTGTTTCTCTCATTCATCGATCCATCGATTAATGACTATGAAGAGATAATGAGTTATTTATAATTAGATCAAACCTAATCATACGGAACTTAGGAGACCCTAAAGCCCATTAGGTAATTGGACCTAATGCAATTAATAATTTAATTAAGTATAAATTCAATTTATCTTAATTAAATATTTTCCATCCAAAAGAAAATAACTTCATTACTCATAAATAAATATTCCAATCTAATTGAATATTTAACATTCTCGATTCACTCTTAGCCGGAAAACTGATTGCATATTGTGTGACCTTATAGGCCTTCACATATTGACATAAATCTAATTTATAATCCTTACGAAACTCCTAGACTGCGTCGAAGGACGAACTCAAAATATGAAGTACGTTTACATGGACAAAGCAAACAAACCTTTAGTGTAGAACTCAATGGTGATACGGTCCCTTCATTCACAAACCACTCGATTAAGCTTAAGACTTGAACATGTATCTACTTATCTCATCTTACTAGTTGATTTTATCAATTATAGTTGAACACCATCTCAAATATAATCACGTGCATTGGCCAATGACTTTATCAACCCAGTATAGAGAAAAAGAGTGTTCTCTAGAAACTATATTCGAGGAATGAATCGTATCTTGGCTCAACTGCCAATTCCATGTATATCGTGATTAACCCAACACAAGCCCGTATCTACCCATAAGAGCGTAAGCGTTGGACTAGGTCTAAGTTAATCACTCTATACATGAATTGTATATTGACCTCAAGTCAAAGGACTATTACACCATTCCACACACCGATACTCCCATAGACACATAAACAAATAGTTTGTCGGTAGGGTATGCCAATACTCTCCAAAGTATCCATGTGTCCATCACGAATAACAATTATTCATAGCAGTGAGACATACTATATTCTCCAAGAATGTGATACAGACCACATATCAATCTATCGCGTATCATTAATATTCCTTTCTTAATGATCATCAATTGAAGCGATTAGAGAGTTATGCTTTATCAATTAACATCTCACTCTGTTAATAACAATATTAACTCAAGAGAGCAATTAATTAATAAATTGCAAACAATCAAACAATTATTTAATTAACTGCAATACCATAATTATAATCCAATATAATTATTAATGTGCTCATGTATATATGTCCTCAAAAAGATTGTCTCTAGGACACATATATCAACATGAGTTACGTCTATCATTAAAAATCATATCCAAACTTTAATTTTGCCCTCCAATAATAAAAATCCTTCAGCCCACATTTCCATAAGTTAATATATATATTGGCTAATCCAATTAATCACTTGCACCCACTTTGCAACTAAAATGATGTTGGGCCTTTGTCATTCTTGGGTCCCGAATATCGAGAATATTGTCAAACGGGGGCAAAACGAGTGCGGTCTCACATAGGTAAAGCGCACCATAAGAGGGTTAGCCCAAATGAAGCCCAAGTGAGGTTTCATCCCAAAACTAATTGATGATGGGAGGAGTAGTCCACTAGGCTCATTTACCCTATCAAATCAATGTGGGATAACTCACAAGTGATACTCTATGTTGGCCTACTTAAATTCTTGTTTGGTACCACGTCGCGTATAAAAGTACTTAAAATATCCTGAAAATAAACCATAAAATATCATAGCACTTGACTCCATCTAAATAATAAATAAGTCGAAAAATATAAACGTGCTAATAAATTAAGCGTATAAAAATACACTATTGAATATATAAAACACGCACATTTTTTGACCTATCAGGATGAGGTAACTGTCATAAAGAGGATAATTTTCGATTGTGTTTTCTATGAAGTATGTTGAGCTTGCATTACTCTTGAGGCTAATAATAGGTATTGCATGATGCACCGGAAGAACTTGTTTTTAAACTGGCTTTGAGGTATGTTGAATTTTATGCTCTTATTATATGTTGATATGGCTCCGTGTTGTTGTATTCTGCGTTTTTTTACATGTTATATTTTATATTCTATATTCTTTTTTTACGTGCAGATATATCCTCTTATACGAGACGATAACAAAATCAAAGTTTGAGATTCCTTTGACAAAGGTAAGAACCAGATATGTCTATATTGTAGGTTGCGCCATGGTCGATCAACGGCTGTATGAATGTTGTAGTAACCTTTTTTTTTTTTTTTTTTTNGGAATCCATACACGACGGAATATCTCATAATGTTTCACATGCACTTTCGACTAATTTTGGTTAGTGAAAAAGGACCTTTTTTCCGGTGGCAATCGAGATTGGCGTATTGTCTTATCATGAGTGAGAGAACGCAACTATTAGAATTAAGTACAAAGGGCCGACAATAGCTTTCGATCAATAAGACGGTAGAGATCTGGCTAGCGGAATGAGGCATATACTATTCACGACCAAGAAGTGAGTTATTTATACCAAGCATTCTTCTTACGGCTAGATCCAATCTCCTGTTCCCTGCGGAAAGGAAAAAGAATTTCACGCTCTTCCTGGTTTGTATGCTTAATACCTTATCCGCTTCTTGCTCGTTATTGTCGAAAATCTCTGTAATTTGACGCTCATAGCTTTAGATCTTCCTCTCGTACTAGGGAAAGGTCCTCTCAATGTTCTAACGACTAGCCGTTTTGATTCTTTGGAACAACCTGCCGGAACTGACCTGTCTGTGTATTACCTGGATTTGAAACCTGTGAGCAGACAGCTTCTGACTACTTGGTACCAGATCTCCCACCAGGCTAGGGAAGTGGATTTCTTGCTTTAAGCTACTTCTTTGCCATGCTTCTCTGCCCGAGTTTCTTTCTTGCCACTAACACTAAGCATTCCCATTCCCAGTATGACTTGCCCCCACTACTATACACATCAGGATATACTCCAGTTGTCTTTTTCCAGCTAGGATTTTTTAAAGAATACATTTCTTCGTATTCATTTAAAGATATATCTTTCACTACAATAGTTATCTTCCATAAAACACGCCTACAACATAACAAGACAATACTAACAGTCGTTTTCTTCCAAACGATCTCCCTGTGTGGCTGCATCTTTTGCACCTCATTTTATATTGGCAAATATTGGTTTTTACTCCTTTCTTAGGTTCATTATATTCTAGCATTTGGTTTTGATAGTTATAATATGGTGTTGTATTGTTTGAAGTTATATGTCATTGACTTCTATCAAGCTGCATTTCTGGCATCATTGTGTTAAGCATGGATGATTCTTGAATAACCTATGCAAGCTAATGAATATGAACATTCATTATTAATATATTATTAATGTATAAATGAACAACCCGAATGAAGGTTTAAAGTTTACACTAGTAAATTATTTTAAATATTTTGTTCACACAAGAGGAAAGTTAAGTTAAAAAATAATGAACTTTTATCATTTTATATGCACAAATTTTTATATGAAGTTGTCTAACCGTTAGATTTGTGTAATTTTATTTTTATTTTTTTCTACAAAAATACATATTTATATAGTTTTTTATTTTAAACCTTAATTTTTTATGATAGACAATAGAAATTGCTTCTAATTGGTGTTTAATTTTTGTGTACAAAGGGTACAATTGTCATTTCAAGTTTTAACATCTCATTTAGTCCCATTATGTAAACGCTTGATTAGTTTCATAAAATTCCATCACACAAAATAAACATGAGACAAATTGCACAAAAAGTAAACGAGGCCGAAGTGTTTTGATGTGTTCCAACTACTTCCAATAACATTAAAATTAATTATACTATGGTCTAGCTAGCTACTCGCCTAGAGATATTAAATGGGTGTTACTATTCACCACCCTCTTATTACTATGTACCGCCCCCTTTGGATAATTTTGTCCCTGCCTTTTTTTAAAAAAAAAGTAAAAAAATAAAATCTCACGCATGCCGACCGGCCGCAACCATGCGCGGCCGCAATTGTCGGTTGGCCTCAACCGTGCACGGCCGCAATCTGACAGGCAACTGTCGGTAAGCCGCACATTTTTTTTACTAATCAAATTTTTATTTATTATATTAATTATATTAGAATTTAGATATTATTATGTTTTAAATTAGAATTTATTATCTTACTGTTAGAATTTAGATAATACTAATTATCTGTAACAAAATACTAAGATAATCAATTCTAATTTATAGCATAACAGATTTTAAGTTCTGACATAATAATAATAAATTCTATAAGATAATCAATTCTAATTTAAAACATAATAATTTCTAAGTTCCAATATAATAATAATAATAAATTCTAATTTATAGCATAATAATTTCTAAATTCTAACTATTTCTCTAATAATTAAAAATTTGATTTGTAAATAAAAAAAAATAGCCGGCCGGCGGTATCGGCCTCCGCGCGGTCGGCCGGCCGAC